CCCCCCCCCCCCTTTTCAATATTCTAGAACCACCTCCTGGTAAACTTCCCAATATCCATGACATCTCTTCGCCAAATATAAGTGTGAACAATACCATTATTCGTACTTTCTTTAACCCCTTATTGCTTATTACTACTATTATTTACGTTTACAGCACAAAGTTTTTTGTGACTGGAATACCATTACTTCCCGCTTCATTTGTGTCCCATGAATACTGATGAATGCGTTTCCTATTGCTCTTAGGTATTTGGTGGAAATGCAGACAAAAACAGTCTTCAATTCAACCATTTCTCGCCAGCGATACATGCCAAGTTCATACGTATTCATCCACTGACGTGGGTTGGGCATATCAGCATGCGGTTTGAGTTGTATGGTTGTTACATGGGTAAGTGCTGTAAGTGACGGGGAATAATAGCAAACAGAAACGGATCCAGGAATCTGAGAAAGGGCCACTGACTATATATGTGCAAAATGAAATAATATTTTACGAATATTTTAAGACTTATCCCCAGGCTACTTCATCGGCTCTCCTAATCCAAGATGGCGGACGCTTCACAGCCGACACGTAGCCTGGCAAAAAAGCTGAGAGCTATCTTCCCAAATAGAGGAATTGCATTTATTTCTTTACAAAACTCTTCTTAGTCGTTTTTCATTGTTTCATTGACCATAGACTGCTTGATCTGCTTCTGTAGTAAAACCGCTCAATTCACCAAAATCCGCGAGGATTTGGGCCGGGCTTCTCGTCTTAGAGGCACGTGCGGGATGTCATGCCGAATAGCGATTAGAGTACCCTGGTGACGAGGCTAGTCACTATCCTTGAATATTCTTTTGCTGCCTCTAGTACAACCCAGTATTGCCCATTACCTCATTAAGAGTCTCCTGTAGCTCAAAATCAGAGAATATCAGACTACGATAAGGAAAGGCCTAACTTCACGGAAGGCCTAACAGAATCAGAGACTATAAATCTAATCTAGATGCATTTACTACTCCTGGGTTGACGGCGTAATATGCCTAACATGTCTAGCAACCCAATTTATAAAAGTTAATTTTTGTGTAAAGAGAAAAAAGTCGGGCTTTTTTACTTTCGCTGTTACTCGCTTAATTTCATGTTTCCAATATTTATTTTCTTTTTCTTTATCAGTCAACAACTGCCTGATGCCACTTGGTGTTGAAGATGGTCGCGTTCTAAATGCAGAGCTTACTGCATCATCAATCCATTCAGCGCTTTACGCAGCTCATTTTGGACGACTTAATCTTGTCAAAACAAAAGCAAATTATGGAGCATGGTGCGCAAAGGTTTCCAATGCAAAGCAATGGATTCAGGTATCCTATAATGACTCTTTTTCACTGCATTCATTAAAAAAACTAACATTTTTTAATGTGCCTTTCTTGTGGACAAAACACTTTAGGCGTTATATATACAGCATTTGTACATTTCACCGCAAGAACGGTTGAATATCGTACGGTCAACGACGGAAATAAAACAATTATTCGCCTCGGCTGAGTGATTAATTATGGCGGTGAATACTCACCTAAACTTACGTTTTTTCTCTCGACGATCACTACGCCTTCGGCGAATATTACTTATTGCTGTTTTATATTGATTTTATAAGATRATATTGAACGATTTAACGCGAGTGTGTCTCTCTCTTGCCTCTGATATATCTCAAACTATATATACACACACACACACAAAAGAACTGTCGATCTTGCAACAACGGAAGAAGTGAGTTACGCGTACAAAATGAAACTCCACTGAGTTAATCTACCCATCATCAATTGATACCATTAATTTTCTATAATTGTGATTGGTGTCTGACTTTCTAGAAATAAGGAAACCAAGCAAAGAAAGTAATAGTACCACAAAATGTCTTATCCTATCGAGCAATCAAAAAAAAGTTTTAGGATATTGTGAATTAGGAAAACGTCTGGGAAAAAATTAACCAAAAATGATCAATTATTTGTCTTATTTCTCAGATTGAATTTAATGAACCAACCGTAGTAACCAAAATCGCAACGCAAGGACGACAGGATGTTGCACACTGGGTCAAGAGTTACAACCTTGAATATAGTTATAATGCTCAACACTGGGCTGTATACAAGCATAATAGTGTCCGTGTGGTAAGTACATTAATATTGAGTGCTCCTTTGATGTACCACCATGATAGCGTCACTGGGGTAGGTACACTAATAGTAGAGTGCCCCTTTCATGTACCACCATGATAGTGTCCCTGGGGTAAGTACATTAATAGTAGAGTGTTCCTTTGATGTACGACCATGATAGTGTCCCTGGGGTAAGTACACTTATGGTAGAGTGCTCCTTCGATGTACCACCGTGATAGTGTCCCTGGGGTAAGTACA